TAGTACTCACCATGATGCTGGTTTATGGCGGGGGTGTGGCTAGGAGAGAAGGCGGGAAAGTGGGCTGAGAGCAGATTAGCAGGAGCAAAAAAAGGGACAGTAAATTGGATATAGGCAATTATTAAAATGATTGCAGAGGGGAGGGGGAAAATGGAAGCCTACATGAGATCAAGTGGTCCGGCCGTGGGGGAGGATGCTGCACTTGGGATGGTGGTGGTGGCAGGAAAGGCAACAGCTTGCGTCGGGTTGGTGAGGTATCTTGGACAGAACCGGAGTGAGTTGGGTCACCGTGGAGGGGAAGCGGGCGAGAAAAACACCCGCATGGTGGGGTTGTTGTCCCGGTGAGATTGGAGCACAGCACGTGACACTGCGTCAGCCACAGAGCGTTGACGAATCACCCCCAGGCGGCAGTCAAGAGCTGACTTGGTGGGATGGAGCCCAGAAGCAGGGCAATTGAAGCCATGCGCCTCTCTCTCTATCTCTCAGTGCAGCTCTGCAGCAGGTTGCCAGATAAAAAAGTCACAGAGGCATGATAATGGGTGCCTGCTCCCCGCCGCCGCCCGTGAGCTTGACTGGGCGTTTCAATGGCTGCCTCGAGGCACCTGTCAGCTCCAGGCCAAAAGAAGCTTTACCGACAACCTAAGTCAACTAAAGTAGTGGCTGTGGGCTGTTCTCACCCACTGAAGACCACCTACCTAGGTAGCTTCAGGCCCCCCTTATCAGTTGACAGACGTCACCGTGCACTCTTCACAATGCACGAGAATGGATCAATGTCTTTGTTGTCTCGCTTGGACTTTGGCTTTGGCTAGCTTGGTTTCTTTGAGAGGCCGCCTTCCTGTGTCTGCGTACTATTAGCTACACCCTGTGTTCCAACTTGCTCCTACTGAGGGTCACAATAGTAAAGATAAACATGGCCGACGGTAGCAGAAGTAATAACAAGGACAGACGACGACAGCGACAACAACTACGACGATGATGAGGAAGACGGCAACGACATCGCTCTACCACAGCAAAATCAGGAGGTTTGGGTTTTTATCTTTAACTGATTTGGTTTCTTCATGCAACATAACTTGCTAGTGCTATTGTACATACAGATCTCTTCAATCCCCTCGGGGAATCTCTGTAGAAAGGGGTAAAGAGGGGAGATTAGTACAAAGGGCCGCAGTTATCCATCCTTTTTAAATAGTAACACCGTGCCATGCCCCCTTTTTGAGTTTTTAATACAAGACGTGGTCATCATTTACTTTTTTACATCATTCCACCCATACCGCCCATGCCGCCCATACCTCCCATACCGCCCATACCACCGGCGGCAGGGCCCTTCTCCTCGGGAGCCTCAACAATGGCGACCTCAGTGGTACCGAGCAGAGAGGCAACACCGCTAGCGTCAACGAGACCGGTGCGGACGACCTTGAAGGGGTCGAGGATACCGGCAGCGATCATGTCGACGTACTCGCCCTTGGCGCTGTCGAAGCCCTTGTTGAACTCGTTGGCGAACTCGTCAGTGAGCTTACCAACGATAACAGAGCCCTCAAGACCGGCGTTCTCGACGATGCTGCGGGCAGGGCGGGTGATGGCGTTCTTGACGATGCTGACACCGAGCTGCTGGTCGAAGTTGGCAGTCTTAACGTCCTTCAGGGCCAGGGCAGAGGCCTTGATGAGAGCGGTACCACCACCGGGCAGGATACCCTCCTCAACGGCGGCGCGGGTGGCGTTCAGGGCATCGACGAAGCGGTCCTTCTTCTCGCCGACCTCGACCTCGGAGGAGCCACCTACCTTGATGACGGCGACACCACCAGAGAGCTTGGCCAGACGCTCCTGGAGCTTCTCCTTCTCGTACTCGGAGGTGGTGGGGTCGTTCATGACACCACGGATCTGCTCGCAGCGCTGGGCAATGGAGTCCTTGCCACCCTCGCCGTTCAGGAAGATGGTGTCCTCCTTAGTGATGGTGATGGAGCATGTGGAGCCGAGCATGTCGGGGGTGGCCTTCTCAAGCTTGATGTCGAGCTCATCGGTGAAGACGGTACCGTTGGTGAGGACAGCCAAGTCACCGAGGATGGACTTGCGGTTGTCACCGAAGCCAGGAGCCTTGACGGCGGCAACCTGGAGCTGGCCACGGAGCTTGTTGAGAATGCAGACGGCGAGAGCCTCACCCTCAATGTCCTCAGCAATGATGACGAGAGGGCGGCGCATCTGGGTGGAGGCCTCAAGAGCGGGGATGATGTCCTGGACGGCGGAGATCTTCTTCTCGGAGAGAAGGATCAGGGGCTTCTCGAACTCGACCTTCTGGGACTTGGCGTCGGTGATGAAGTACGGGGAGACGAAGCCACGGTCGAAGCGCATACCCTCGGTAACCTCGAGCTCGTCCACCAGAGTCTTGCCCTCCTTGACGGTGATGACACCCTCCTTGCCGACCTTCTCCATGGCGTTGGCGATCATGCGGCCGAGAGCCTGGTCACCGTTGGCAGAGATGGTGGCGACCTGAGCAATCTCCTCGCTGGTGGTGATATCTCTCTTGTTCTTCTGGAGGTACTCGACAACGGCATCGACGGCGGCCTGGATACCACGGCGCAGGTCCATGGGGTTGCAGCCAGCGGCGACGTTCTTGACGGTCTCGGAGAAGATGGCGCGGGCGAGAACAGTAGCGGTCGTGGTGCCGTCACCGGCGGTCTCGTTGGTCTTGGAGGCGACATCCTGGAGGAGTCTGGCACCGAGGTTCTCGAACTTGTCCTTCAAGGTGATGGCCTTGGCGACAGTTACACCGTCTGTACCCACAGTCAGCTTGACGTTCATTCCGTAGCTTCATAGAGCTGTAGCGTACCCTTTGTGATCTTGGGGGAGCCATAGCTGGACTCAATGAGAACGTTACGGCCCTTGGGACCAAGTGTCGTGGCAACGGCCTTGGCCAGAGTCTCAACACCAGCCAGCAGAGAAGCGCGGCCCTCAACACCGAACTTCAGCTCCTACAGGACGAGTCAGTATACCTTGTCCAATATGATTGGTACTACTACGAGGCATATAAACGTACCTTGTGGGCAAAGCGAAGCTGTTGACCCAGGCCGGCACCGGGGCGGAACTTGGTAGCGGCGGAGGAAGCGATGGACGCTCTGGCGCGGGATGTAAGAGCGCGCTGCATCTTGGATCTTATTATGAGGGTATCTAGATAAGAAAAAAGAAATACAGAACTAGGGATTGAATCGTATCGCCGTTTGGAAGCGCAGAGTTTCGCTCACAAGGAGTTCGAGGAGGAGAAAAAGTTCAGTGACGATAGAATTGGAGAAGCTTCCTGTTGCGCCGGCTCCAAAAATTTATCTCGGACGTTCGGCTAAACCAGGCCCCATTGGTGCGCCATGACCAAAACGGACTAGCGCCACCTTGTGCATTTCCACCGTCTTCCAATGGTATCTGTCCCATTCTCACATCCGCACATGGTATTGTCCCGCGAACAATGCCGATTAATTGACAAGGGTTCTAGCTGTTGGTTGGGAATAGCTGCATTGGGTTCGGCGACTCCTATCATCGACACTCCGATAGCCTCTTCAAGCTTAAGTTGATCGAACACCGTATTTATCTTGCGGGTCTCCGTCGCATCCAATTGTCTCGCATTGTCGACTGTTTCTTTTCATAGATGTTTATGTACTTCTGCCCAGTATTGCTCCAACTTTACTGTACTTGAAACGTTGGCGAGTGAGTGCCGTGACGCGCCCCTCTCGAGATGTCAGCCGCATCGTCACTTGACCGGGAATCTGACTGCAGGTATGTATGGTTCGGTTAGACATGAGCATTGAATAGATAGATACCCATAGATTCTCCTATTCTCTGACATGGGCATCTGATGGATACATAAGTAGAGACAATCGAGGAACAAGTTCTCGATTCCCATTTCATCAGCGCCATCGTGTCTTTCATCCAGCTTTGCTCAGTTTTCAATGCCAATTCCTTCGCATCGTAATTGATAGTTCCGAAATACCCTCTTAGCCAGCCAAAATGAAGTTCTCTCTCCTTGCCGTTATCGCCGCATCCGCATCTGTTGCGCAGAGCGCAATCACTTGGACGTTGGACAAGGCAGCAAACCCCACATCCGACCAAACCGAGGCCTACGAGAAAATCGAAGCCGCGATGGAAGCCGCCGTCGCGCGGCACGCGAAGCTGGGCACCGCAAGCAAGTCCGTCAAGGTCTACTACACGCCGGGCGTGCCGACGGCGGAAGCGGGCGTCAGCGGCGACCTCAGGTTCGGTTCAGACCGCGCCTTCATGGACGAGCGGACGGCACTCCATGAAATTGCGCATACGCTTGGCGTCGGCCAAACTACGGCCTTCAACTCCCTGTGCTCCTCCGGCGATTGGAAGACGGCTCTACCTCTGCTGAAGTCCTGGGACGGCGACGAAGCCAAGATTAGTTGCGGCGGCCAACACTTCTGGCCGTATGGCCTCAACTACGACAATGAATGGAGCGAGACAAACGCGGATCGCCACGTTCAGATCATCAATGCCATGATTTCCGATGGCATGTAAGCCTGGGATTTGTTCTTCAGCGTATTGTTTATATTGTAAATATTTGCTGGACCGGGTTGACACATACATCCGGTGTGTATATTTTGGAACATGACTGAAAGTGTTGAATGGGTGATGGAGACATCCGGAGCGAACCAGAATGCAATCTTCCCCCAAGGAGACTAGAAGGATGGTGCTCTATCAAATGTACGGAACGCAGATAATTTCAGAATTTTCTACTCGCGGGGGCTATCGACTCATCTACGTGTTATGTACATCATTCACGACGCAAGGGATACTGCATGTATCCGGAGAGAAGTCAATTCGGTGCGACTTGCCAATTGTCAAGTCATCATGGGTATCTAACATTTCGCGTATCTCTCATTCCCAGTAAAAGCAAACGCCGTTTTCCTCTTTCCTTCAACAGCCAACCCAAGGCATTTCCACCCAGCAAGCTTACTGGCAGGATCTTTTGTCCTTGTCGGTGATTTCACCAGACCTGAACTTCAGCCCTGGCAGTATCTTTCGTCCTCGTCGGTGATGTCGTCAGACCTGAACTTCAGCCAGTTGAAGTCCGGCTGGGGCAATTCACTGCCATTGTCGGCACTTCCAATGTCCTGCTCCCAGTTGAGATCGGGGACACTAGCCAGCGTGCTGGGCTGCGGCGCGAATTGATGTGCTCCCGGGAGCTCTGTATGATCACCGAAAGGGAGTGGGTTCGCCGCCGGCATCATGCTGAAGGCATGATCGGAGTCCATTGGGAAACCCATTTGGGGGATTCCCATCTGAGGAACTCCCATCTGAGGAACTCCCATCTGAGGAACTCCCATCTGAGGAACTCCCATCTGAGGAACTCCCATCTGAGGAACTCCCATCTGAGGAAATGCTCCCACGAGAGGAAATCCTCCCAGGGCAGGGTCGATTGGCTGCTGGGATGCTCCCTGTTGCGGGTAGTCCTCGAATGACGGGCCCATTGAGGGGCGCTAGCTACCGTCAGTAATGGAACTCAAAGTGAGGGCAGATCACCTACCTGGGTCAGAGCCAAGGCAGCATCTTCCTCTTCTTCTATCGTGACCGTCTGCTCATCGACGAGGAATTTGTCGGGCTCATTGACTTCCTCGTCCCAGGAGACAGCCCGCGGTTCGCCTGTGTCCTTATCAAGGACAACTCCCCAGGTGTCTCGGTTGTCAAAGCGTCTGAGGTCCCCTCGTGGGGGGACGACTCGTCCCTCCTCGAGGTGTCGCTTAGACATCTTCGTGACATACTGTCTGGCCGCATTGCCAGTGACATTGGGCCGGAATCTATGGGCAGCCTCATCCCATGGCAATTCGATGCCCTTCTTTTCGCATTCAAAAGCGAGTGCGAGCAAGAACTTCTCGGCAACCGGCTGACCTGTGTCAATCACTGTTAGCCGACATAGCTGAAGTAGAGTCGAGGTCGGAATCTTACGGTTCCATTGTACCAGCCGGCGGCCAGTGTATCGGCCATTCGCCTTCTTCTGCTCTTCGGAAGGGAGTTGATGGGTAGCAGAACGCCTGGGCGGAGGAGGAGGACGGTTTAAGGCTTTTTTATCAACTCCTGGGTCCTTTTTCGACTTGGTTGCAGCCGGAATCTGCACTTTCTCCAAGGCCTTATTCTGATCGTGCTTGTTGCTCGCGCGGTGATTCTCAACGGCTGAACGCGAATTGGCCGCGACCTTTGAGACAGGCTTTTCAGGCGCCATGCTGTAATCTTGGATTATTAGCCCAGAGATTATCACACGTGAGATGGAAGGAGACGTCGCACAAGCAAAGGTGAATTTTCTCTCACTCATTCAAGCCTGGGTGAGGTGAAAGGGCTTTTTCGCGTGAAGTTGAAGGTTAGGAAGGTGAAAAAAAGCAGCTCAAAGTGAGATTAAAGGGCGTCAAGTTGAAAGGAAAGTCAAGAAATGAGATGAAGGTGACAAACAGGTTGAGAGTACTTACTTGTGATGTTGAGGCTTTGTACGCCTGATGAGGTTGTGTATTGTATTGTTCAAGTTTGGTTTGCAAACTTCAGTGTCGTGGGTGATGGGTTGAAGAGAAAGTTCGTGATCCCACTGGTGAGTTGGGGGTTTTGTGGGTTGGGAGGGATGGAAAATCCTGCTTGGGAAGGTAAGAGGTGGTAGCTGGGGAGATTTAGGAAGGCACGTTGGGTTTTCCAAGCAGTTGCTTCTGTCGTGACTGCCGTTTTTTTCCCTGGAGACCAGACGGCAGGTGGGAGTTGGGCAAGTGCGTTTTCCGAGGAGACTCTTTCCCAAAAAGCCAGAGATGAGGAATAGAGACGGCGGCACCGAGAGATGACGAGAGACGACGGCCGGAGACGATGGACGAGGGTCAAATATACGCAAAAGGCAGCAGAGAAAGCAAAGAAAACAGACAGTCTTTTTGCAGGTTTTGAAAATCCCAAAACTTCGAGTCTGTTGGAAGACCCAGCTGGTCTGCTTCTATGGCCTTCCGAGAGTCGCTTCGGTTGATGCAATGCGTAGACCTGAGAGGTGACGTGGCGGGAGGCGGTTGTCTGCGAAGAAGGAAACAATGGCGGTGACAGCCGTAATCGAGATCACAGTGCTTGCCAAGCAGGTGCTCGTGGCCGTGATATGAAGACGAAGAAGTTGAAGACACATGCAACGAAGTCGCCAAGTGACCCTCAGTCTCCGCCCGTTGCTTGTCAATGAAGAAGACCGAAGGTGAGCAAATGGACATCTCAGGAGCAAGGCCATGCTCTCATGGAATCATGTCTACGGTGTCACTGCGATTCACGTCCCGGTAAGGCCTTCGCGATGCCATGATGCTCAAAGTTGGTGTGGGATGAAATTATTAATCTCGTATCGAGAGGGAAGAGCTGCCAATGATCTACAAAACCAATGTCCTCCCATCATGTCTGTGATCTTTCCAAAGCGTGGTGATCAGATGTATTTTTATCCGCCGCAGATCAGAACTGCCTGCCTCCCCGAGCAGTTGAAACTTATGCCAGTATCCCTTCCTTTTGACATTTCCTTGTCTTGAAACCCCATATCCTGGTGATCCTTACGAAAAACCTCCTTAACCTTGATGTGGATGCTGGCGCGCGCCCCGTTTGTAACCTCTTGCCGTCCTGTTGGCTCATGTCTTGATTTGTTTCCTGGGTGGTGTGATAATATACTGGAAGAGGAGTGGTGGGTGTCGGTGGGAAATGTATCGAGGCAGCACTCCTGATGTAGCTGGGCGGTGCTTCTGTGGCGACGTGATGTTGTTGCGGAAAAGCATGCTGGTGCGATGTATTCGCGAGTTGCTGTTGGACTGCCGCCTGCGCTGCTGCGGCGATGATGTTGGGCAAGCTTGCCGTCAACCTTTGTAAGTCGGATGTGACGGTGTTTAGAGATGTGTTGAGCATGTTCAGCGAGCCGTCAAGCGTGCTGCTCTGAGTCGACAGCATGGTGTTGAGAGTAGAAAGCTGTGCTCCCATTGCTGTGCTCATGGCTTGTGTGGAGGATCCGACAGCATTGCTCATGTTGGTTTGAAGATTTGTCAAGACGGTGTTGAGTGTGTTGACTTGAGCACTCATTGAAGTGTTGACGGCGCTGTTGAGATCAGAGAGGCCATTGAGCTGGTTGTCGAAGCGATTGATGTTGCCTTCCATGCGAGTGGCGTTCATGCGCAGGGGATTCGCGACGTCAAGCAGCGTCCGCTCGGCGATCTGCATGAACTCCTCCGCGATGGCGTCGAGGTCGGCTTGTGTGGGGTTGCTGATGCCTTTGCGCTGCAGTGCGGCCTGCGTAATCTCCAGCATTCGAGCTTCCTTGTTGATTGAGCCCATCCAACTTTGAACTCGGTTGTCCATCTCTTCCAGCTTGGTTGAGCCTCCTTCGGCTTCATCGCGGGTCTTGATGCGGCGCGTAATTTCGATCTTAAGTTGATTGTATGTTGCAGGCGGTGGCTTGAGAAGATCGCCGCGGATATCTCGGAGTCGCTTAAGGAACTGATAATCCTCGACGATGGTCTGCGGGTCTTCTGTATTTGATGACGTGGTTGGGAACTCTTGTCTATGGCGAGCTCGTGTAAGTTCATCGCGCATGGCTTGTAGCTGTCCAACGGTGTAAATCTTCTGGCCGACGACAGTGTGATTAGGATGGTTGGGTGTGATGCCGATGGAATTTGTTGAGTTGCAGAAATGCTTTCCGCCATCTGTCCCAGAGACAAAAAAAGACATCTCGGTGTCGATAGACGATGCAGGCGAGTCCGGGTCTGAAAAGAAAGTGCTCGTAGAAGTAGCAGACCGCGGGGTCGAAGCATCCGATGAAGAATCCCAATCTTGCTCAATGTCCACGCCAGGCGCGCCAGCAGAGTCGTCCATTGCAATTGCAGTGTGTAAAAGTAGACAAGAAAGTTTGTCGGAGAGAAGATTGTGTCGTGAGAGTAAGAAGTAGCTCGGGTCGCCTCAATCTGCCGAAAATGTCAGTCGCGCTTCCCGACGGCCCACGATGCAAGTGCGGAGATGCAGATGGGAGGTTCTCGGAGCAAAACTTACCAATTGGTCCGATATTTGGAGTTTTCTGATGCGGAATCGTCCTTCTTTGAGTGCTTGATTTGAAAAGAAGACGAATGGCGGGTTGTTGATGCGAAGATTGGGGTGCCTCTCGAGGCAATTGGGAGGGAAGAGACCGGGTGGGTTGAGAAGGGAAGAAATTTTCGGAGGTGGCTTGCTTGGGAATTTTTGGGCATATGGGCGGCAGGGCAGGGCAGCTGGGGGAGGAAAGTCGCCTATGAGAGGGCTGGACTGGCACCAGAGTGTGGTCGTGGGAAAGATGATGGCAGGAGCCCAGGTCTGATGGGAAGGTGCAGTTGGAAAGTCCAGAGCGAAGGTGTGGGGCAGCCTGTCGGTCTGATGGTGTGAAAAAAAACCAGCTAGCGTGGATGCAGATGAAAATCTTTTCTGGGAAGAGGAAGGAAGGAAGGTGAGTTGGGACCGCACCTGCTTCACATAGGTCTGACTGCCACCCTTGGCCAAGAAGCTTTTGTCCTGGAAGCTTTGGGACTGGACAGCTGACTTGGAGGACTTGATACAACAGTTGACTTTTAGCACAGAATGACTGCTGGCTGCTAGATCGATTGCGTCCTCCAGGAGGTGCTTGAAGACGTTGCCATTGAGTCACTGTACTTATTTTCCCCCGAAGACGTTTTAGAGCCTTCGTTGAAATTTATCTTGCAGTAAATTTGCGATTATGCTGTTTGACAGTACCTACCAAAAGGGTTATGAGGCTCTTTGCGAGATTCTCGTCGTCGCCCTGGCTGGTGCTACGACCACGAGTTCGTCCCAACCAAGGCTGGACAGGCCGGCCCTTTTCTACTTCATGACCCCGGTATTTTCGCCATCATGTCACTTTCATTGTTCTATCTTTGATTCGGATCAATGGCGCATTGTCCATGCATGAAATCAGCGTCGCCTTGAAAGAAGCAAGCTCTTACACAGGCCCGTGTAGTCTAATTTAGCATCGCCGGTCTTTGGGGCAAGACGCCACATCCCTGTTCCCCCGCAGCCAAGATCTGCCCCACCTGCCCGATCTGGCCGGTACATCTGCGCAAAGTACTCCCAACGGCTGTGCATATTACAAGTCTTGTGTAATCAATTGAAGTCACGAAAATGAGGCAAATAGCAGTGAAGTCAAGCTTGTATATTTCCCTATCCTTCGCAGTGTCTCCCCGCCCAAGTGCGATACAGTCTCCCCGCCCAATGACAGGAATTTGGAGATCAAACCAAGGTCACCCTCGTCAAATTACCCAGTTTCGCTTCTGTAAACAATCCAGTTAGCTTCATCTTCCGAGGAGGCGAGGGGGAAACTTTACATGTGTCAACCAAATGAGCCGCATTCCCATCTCCATGTGTGCTCATTTCCTGCCATGGTTGTATTGTCGCATCTGGCATCATGAATCCCCAACCATGGTGGCAAAATGGCGCCTGAGGTAGGTTAAACTTGAAATTGGTCGTCACCGGCGGCAGCATCTGTATTGAAGAGTCGGTGTTAGTATCGCTCGCGACGGAAACGGATTGGGGACCTCGGCATTCGGCGGTGTCGTGGACGGGGCAACCGGTCGTCTTCTCTACCACGTAGAGAAGTTGCAAGTCGTCGTCGTCGCGATCGCGGCCTCGGGTGTTTTCGTAGTACGAACCGGTAGCGGCGGAAGCGGAGTGGGACTCCTCCTTCTTGACCTTGAACTCCTCTTGGTCCTCCTCATCGTCTTCGTCATTGTAGGACGAGACAGCGGGGTGCGAGGCAGCAAGCTTGGCGCGCTTGGTGTTGGTGCTGGGTGAAGCCGCGGCGGCGGTGCGCTTTCCGGCAGACTTGGTCTTCGGGGTTGCCTTGGTGGTGCTCTTGGCGGGGGTCTTGGGAGTTCCTCCGGTGGGAGTCTGGGCAGGAGACGCGGTGCCAGCAGGTCCGGGCTTGGCCAGATCACTAGCCTTCATGCCATGCTGCTGAAGCAGGCGAGAGAATCGCTTGGCACTAGATGCTATTGGTCAGTTTCTGAAGGCATTAGGACGCTTGGAACGCTACTCACGCTGCACCCTTCGAGGCGATGTTGCACTCAGTGGCAACAGCCTCAAAGTCGACCTGTGGTGGTCAGTTTTTGTGCACCTCCGGGTTTGCGGGGCTCTTACTCTTCCGTTGTTGGAAAAGCGGATACAGTTCACGAGGAACTTCACCTGGCCCTCAGCATCTGTGCCGACAGGAGTAGACATGATGACTTGTATGGGTGATGGGTGATGAGGTGACTTCGTAAGTGCGTGGCCTCGGCTGAGAGTAGAGCAAAGCTTCCGAGTGCGTTAGAATGAACGTGTGTTTGTTCTTTGGCAGAAGTTGAGCTGAGATGGAGTGTGACGGTGATGCGATAGTACCGATGAAATTCAAGTGAGGTATGCGAAAATTTTGGGGATGTGGGAGCTGGTTGAGGAAGGCAGTCGCTGGGTGGGCTCGATAGGCAAGAGAGAGAAACTAGGCAGAGTGGGAAGAGAGGACGGTAGACAGCGCCTGAATAATTTAGGCGACCAGAAACAGCCTACTTAGGGCAGGAGATTGTGTGTGAGAAAAGGCAGGATGCTGGCAGCAGGTCTTGGGAAAATGTCCACTCACTCAAACTGAAGTAGGATGAAAATGGAAAATCAAAGTGATAAGAAGTTGAGTGACAGGTTCTTAGAAATTGAGGCTAGGAAAAATATGTACTCACGATTATTTTGATAGACTGGTCCAGGTATAGATGTTAGGGGAGGTGTTCGCGTCGATATTCGCAAGCCAGAAAAGTCTGTTCAGAAACAAAAGCTGCCTGACGTTTCACTTCGAGTTTGGGTAAGTAGTATAGACTGCTGTCTCTGACTTGTCAGGCAGGCTCTTCCTTCCCTCTTGGTGGTTCTGAAAAGCTGCGTTTATTGCCTGTGCTCAACCTCATAAGTCGCTAGTCTGACCTTGGCATACCAGCACGAACATGCAGTCCAAAAGATATCAGCAATGTAGCACATGGGGACTTGATTATTTAAGAATCTAAGCCCAACGCTGGTGCGCTGCAGCTTCAAATGTTAAATGGGAGGACCAGACATACCCACTGAAAGAGCTTGTCATCCCTTTTTAGCCTTGCTCTCGACTTTGCAAGAGAAGGAACAAAAGATGGGAGAGAGAATGCATCAAATCCATCAAGCACCCAAGGGAAGCAATTAGTAACCAACGCCAAAGAATAACTGGGCTTTCTTGTGAAGGGCTGCATCTAGACAACCTGGTTCTTTCCAGAACATACCATTCAAGTGCAGTCTATGAGAGAGGAGTCTTGCTGATAATCCAGTCTTAGGGAGAGTGTCAGCACATCAAAATGAAACAAATATCACGAGATTACTGAAGTTCAGAGTGAGAGCAGATCATCCTGTTCGTTTCCCTAGCTAGCTGCCAAAACTGATTTGATCCTGCTCAATTCTTGATATCCACCATCTGCGTAGGAATTCCTTGCATATTGCCCTCCGTGTTCGGGAAAGTCTCATGATAAGCCGAAGGAAATGCCTTTACTCGCTGTCGCTGCCGTTACCGTTCTTCATGAACTCATCATGGGCGGCGCTCTTGCCGTCGGAGTCGGACTCGAGCTTTGAGGAGATGTCCTCATCTCCATCGGACTCCTCGATGTCCTTCTTGGTCTAGAAAATTTCTGATCAGTCTCATCCGGTGTGGTGAGAAGCGACAACTGAGTCCACGTACCTTCTTGCGGGCGATGCCCTTCTTCTGAGGGGTCGCCTTTTTGGCGACTTTGCTGGCATTCTTGGGGGCCAGGGGGCCCTTGGCAGGGGAGCCGTTGCCGCCGCCTGCACCAGCCGCGCTGGTGCCCCAGTTGTGGCGCTTGCCCAGCACACGGAAGCGCTCCTTGGCCGACTTCGCAGTCATACCCAAGTCAGTGGCGACCTTGTCCCAGTCTATGTCGGGACGAGAGTTCATGTGGTCGAACATGGCTTTCAAGAAGCGAGTCTCGGTCTCGCTGAGAGCGGTGGCGCTGCCCTCGGCCTCGGTATTCTTCTTGGGAGGCATAGTGTGGTCTGGGCTGACGCTGTATAAGTCTGGATCCAAAAAATGAACAAAAATAGCTGACAGACAAGCTTACCTGTGTGGATGATGTGGTGTTGTTGATGATAAAAGTTGAAGGACTGCTGGGTGCTGGTTTTGTGAAATCGACACCAGATCTAGAGATGGGTAGGAAAGAAGAAAAGTTTGGTAGGCTGAGGAAGATCTGGAAGTTTTAAATAGCTGGGAAGCTTGCCGAAATAGCCTGCTCTCGAGGCGGGCACCATGGATAGCTCTCGCCTTGTGAAGATAAGTTCTCTTTCATCGGGGAAGTTGCCCTCTTCTTGCTTGAATCTGAACGAGGCGAAACAAACACAGCAACAGAGACTACGCAATAGGATGGAGTCCTGACTGCTGAAGCCTTAGGCTTCTTGAGGCATCTTAGAGCCAGAATCGGCGAGGCAAGTACGGTCAATTCGAGTAGCTGGGTCTGAACTGGAAACAGCTGAGGAAACGGAAGGAATTTCGGCTTTCAGGTGTCCTTACAGTCGAGACGATTTCTTCAAGGAAACAACTTGAATTTTCCCTGAGAGGTGAAAGACGGCGGCGCCGATTTAAGGCAGGAGGTTTGCGTTGAACAAGACTAGACGTGGCAAAGAGCTTGACTTCGATTTGAAGGATGTTGAAAATTGGAAATAGCAGAACACCACATTTGTGATGCTCAGAAGTTGTATTGGCTCTCGGACTGACGTATGAAGTTACTTTTGCAAGCCTCAGTCCGTATTCTCCTCTGATTTCTACCCCTCGCCATATGTTCACGAAGTAACCCTAGTTCTCATCGTCGCCCTCCATCTTGACGACTCCCTTGTTGTCAAAACCGTCCTTGGCGTCGTCGTCGTCCTCGGTCTTGACCGCTGCCTTTCCCTTGCCCTTACGGCCCTTGGTGCCGACGCGACCGCCAGTCTTGGCAACCTTGGCAGGAGACTCCTCCTCAGCAGTGGAGTTTCCCTTCCTCTTCTTGACAGGGCTGCCAACAATCGAGTTGAGCTCGTACTTCTTGCGAATCTGACCGTACCGGGTCTGCCCAACGTTATTAGCACATGATCACTGAAGAGCCCCAAATGAAGGAACTAACCTGAGCGACGCCAGCACTTTTGAATCCCGCGGTGGCAGCGAAGGCCTCCCAATCAATGTTGGGCTTCTCCGTCATGTGACGGAAGATGTTGATCATGAAGTTTGTATCTCCAGCGGTGGGCTCCTTGGCGGAGGCAGCAGCGGGAGTGGTTTTGTCAGCCATGGTGGTGAATTCTTTTTTTCGAACCTGAGTCAGTGTATGAAAATGTGTGAGAAGGGGCAAATGGTGTACATACCTGGTATGTGTTGAGTTTTGTATGTATGTTGTTGCAGGAATGCTTGCTATGATGTTATGTCAGAGTTGAAATATTTCGGGTCATGTGTCAAGACACTACTCACATAAGTATTTTGCTCTGGTTTGTTGTGTAAGGGAAAGGGAGTTAGAAATTTTGGACGGGATGGTGGTGGAGAAAAGAGAGAGCAGTTGACTTTGGATGAAGGAACAGAATTAAATAGGCAGCAGATTATTGTGCGAGACCGAAGAGAAGAGAGGCAGGCGCGACAACCCAGGTAACCAGAAATCAGATTAAGAAGGCCGAATCTTGGGAAGGTAACCGCTATTTTTCCTGTGGTCTCGCCACCGTCGTCTTCGTTACTGTCGTCCGCCGTCGTCGTCCGCCGTCATTGTTACTGCAGCCACTGTGTTTTACCATCATCGCCGTCTCTATACACCGTGGTTTACTGTTGTCCTTCAGCTAATCAAATCAGTTTGCAACATACGAAGAGATGAAATCGTGAGAGAATCACTTGAATCTCCAGAATTTATCTCAGAAATTAGCCCATTTTCATTCAAAATAGGAAGTATCGACCTCGGGCGTTTTCCATACCTCAAAGGGAATAAATGGGAGGCGGGTCGTCTCGAACCTTCTTCTGAGGGGGTACGATGCCTCGGAGCGCATTAGCAGCGAGACTGTGAACAACGGGGGTAGTGGGGCGTGTAAGTCAATGTCTGAAGCAGCGGCCTCGCCTTTGAGCTGTCACGCAATCTTCACAGTCCACGACTGGGGGAAAAATAACAGAGGGTATGAACGTATGAATTGGATCGTCATGTTTCTTGAAAGGTTCTAAAGTACCCTACTCTGGGGCATACATTCTAATCAAACCAGACGCCTTCCAGGGGTTGCGTAACATCATTAGTACAACTGGGCAATCCAAAGAGGAGAGCGGAGTGACCAGCACGAGATAACAGAAGAAAGCAAATGACGGCAGTCTTTTCCAACCTTTTCCAACCTGAAGCCGACATGTATAGATATCCCACCTGCCCGTGCCTTAATACAGTCTATTAGGAGTGGAACTGAGCATCCCAGTGCTCGTTCTTGATGTTCATGTGTTCAGGCATCAAGGTTGCCAACGTTGGTGACCCGTGGAGATCGGTGGTATGCCCCTGACCGTGCTGGTGATCACACATAGCACCCATGCCGAAACCTTCAATATCGTATGCGGCGTCGAACGCCGAGTAGATGGGACTTGACCCCCAAGAGTTGTGCTCGTGCTCGTGGTGATGCTGGTCTTGGTCGTGGGCGCAAGGCATAATCGACGGAATGTCGAACGTAGGGTGGGCTCCCATAATGTTAGCAGAGGGGCTGAACTGCAGATTTTGAGGTGCTGAAAACATGTCGTCGCTGCAGGGTGTGAGAAGTCGAGGTTGGAAAGTCGGTTGACACTCAGGAGCAGTAGGTGATGCCATAGATGCTGGTGTGAACTGCTGTCTGTAGGGAGGTTGGTTGTGCTCCTGCTTGACCTTAACGGGCGACCTCGCGCGGGATTCTGACTCTGCTGTCCCGGGTTCTGGCTTCACTCGGTCGTTGTCGTCGTCCTCTTCCTTTTTCGGCTTCGGCTCCTTCTTCGACTTGGTAACTCGGTTCTTGTTCACGGCGGCGCGGTTACGCTTCTGAGGCTCGAGGCCTAGCATCGCCGAACGGAAGCGGGAGTATCTCATGCGAGCAGCATGGCCGTTGGTGATGGGCTGTGCCAGTATCGGATCATGGGCGACGGCATTCCAGTCAATCTGGATGGGTGATGAGCCAAAGGCTGATAATGATATAATATGGGTGTAGTATCACTTACATCCTTCAAGTTCTTCTGTTTCAAGATGGCGAAGAGAAACCTTGTCATCTGGTTGTCTGTGTTGGAGGACATGTTGGAAGAAGTACTGGTGGCTTGCCGCCCCTATCTGATCATGCCACAGAAGGGTGAGGTCGGGTTTGGGTGCAGTGAGCTGGAGGAGGAGGGCCAATTTGAAGTGCACAGCAATGATTGCCGAGGCTTTCGGGAGACTCAGTCAAGCAGCACACAACAGGCAACTGTGGAGTTGGGTTGAAGGAAATGAGTCACTGTGAAGATCGGTGAGGCGATACCGAAGAGATATATGGCACCCAAGTCAGCAGGTTGCGTTTTGTAAATGGTGCAACCACTGGGGGCGAGATCAGTCACTCGCTGGTGTGGGTGGTCAAGGAAGATGAGGCGGACAAAAGAGGCAGACAAGGAGGCATTCGACAACTGTCAGCCAAACAACCCCGGGGGCATCAACGGTAGTTATAGCTGCTTTGGAGGGTGTGGCCTTGGGACTATGGGGCTAAAGGGGATGGATGGATATGCATGTCGGCTTGATGCTGCGCTGGGGACCGAAGACGATGGATGGAGCCAGCGGCGATGGATAGCGGAGCTGCAGAGAGAGTAGTTGGAATTTTAGCAGTACAGTATGAGGAAAAAGAAAGACGAGAGCATGCTTTCAGGGAAGACGCCGCGCGCGCTTGGGCCGACATTTTATTGAGCTGCCAGTGGCAAACCCGCCTTGAGACACAAGGAAATCAAAATAGTTCCTTGTTGCCTGGAGTTACGGCAGGCTTTGACAGCGAGCATCTTTTTTTTCTGGGGTGTGACGTTTGTGGAGGGGGGTGGTGTGGTGCAGGCTCAGATGCAAGAGCATGGCACCCATGGGTGGTGAGGTTTGGTGGGCGATGCAGTGTGTGGATGAGAGGACGATGTGGTGGAGGGGTGGGAGGGGAGCTGGATGGATGGTGGTGGTGGAAGTGGTGAAAGTGGTGTCGCGGGGGCCGTGTAATCGCGTAAAGTGGTTTTCCCTCGCCATTCCTCTTTTGCCGCAGCCACCCCTGCACGCAGCCGACGATGGAGCACACTTGACTTTCCCCGACGAATGAAGGTTTGAGCGAAGGGCCAGGAATTGCGAGGCATCCGACCAGCGCACCCACTGACATGCAAGTCCTATCGGCCATTTGCACTCGCAGGCAGAATTGACTCGTCAATTGAGCTGGGCAGCTCTGGCGATGCTGGGGTCACTCTGGGCCGGTCAGAAAAGGCCGTGATGCAAGATCCAGGAACGCCCGCGGACCACTTGGAAACGCAACAGGGATCTAAATGGGATGAGACACACGAGTGGTAAGGGTGTGTGACTCATACTTTGAGTAAGGTAAGATGGATACATTAGCTGAGAAATGGAGGGGGTTGGGCCCATTGGCTGCGTCCATGTTGCAGCTTCAATTTGGCACTATTCATTGGCGGCCCTCCCGCATCGAGTCGTCAAACAAAAAAAAACCTGGACCGCACCATGCGTGGTCGACGAACGCTTGTTACGACGCATGATGCCTGCCGATGCCTGGTTCTCGGCATGTTTGGTTTGGTTGTCGCACCTGGGTGTTGTGCTAGGAACCGACTGGCTAGATTGTTGAGGCTTGCGTTGACGGACTGATGCGATGCAAGATGCGGCGAATATTTGCAAACAAAGTTCGAGCCTCGAGGGCCGACTCAGAGCCCCCTAGATTCGCTCGTCGATCAATCACTTGCTCCCAATTTCGGGCTCGTGTTTGATCGGGTTGGATGTCGGGTACTGGCGGTGGGAAGAAGCATCGGAAGAGGGGTCAATCGAGATATTGGTAGAGCTTGACAATTGACGACTGAATTGACCATTTGGCGAGTAAAAGCAACTTTAAGACCGCGAGAAATTGTACAAAAATCGATTGATGCACATTGAACCCGTTTAAATGGCGTAATAGGTCTCTTCGGGCTTCCTCGTTGCCATGGCGAGGCGCGATGAAGTTGGAGGGCATGAGATGAAGTGGTCGGGCGACGCGTTTCCGTGAACCTTGGGCGACGCACTGTGGCACTACACTGTAAGGCAATGTCGCGAGATTTCACGCTACCACGTGATGTGGAGCGATACGTAGCCGTTGCTGCCTGAGAGTTGCCTGGCGTGCCGACAGGGTGGTGGTCGGCTGCAGCACCGCCAGTACGACTTTGGAAGCTGTTTGAGGTCCAAGTTCTCCACGCCGAGCCCAGACGCCGGGAGCTGCAGCACCAGAGTTAAAGCGGCGGTGGTGGACGCGGATGAGCTGTCCTTGGCTGGCGCAAGCGCCCCTTTTCAGTCGCTATTGTAAGCTTCCGATGAAGCTTTCCGTTGTTCAAGAAGGTGATCATCGTTGCACCTAGCAAACGGCGCGTCGCCGGCACTCTTCGCACAAGTAGTCCAGCCGCTCTACCGCTCTGCTTCGGCGGGTATGGCTTCAAGTGCGGACAAGACAGATCGTCATGGATGCATCCCGAGGTCGATCTCCCTCGAGACCGCGAGGACGCCCACGTAGCCACGCCATTATCCCGCATGTCTCAGCCAGAGACCTGCCAGAATTATCATGACAGAAAGCTCACTGTCATATATCGAGTTGTCTTGGACTGTGGTGCCTCGAAGGGGGCGGCAGGCGGCGTCTTCCTGTCTCAAACGGCGTGGACCTGTGCATGGCCCGACGCACAGGCTGCCCGTTGAGAGAGAGAGAGAGAGGCACAATGGCAGGAAACAGACATCAGGTCTTGTTGCACTTATGAACCCCCATTAATGTGTCTAGAGCCTCCGCCAAATTTTCCATGATTTTGTATGTTTCTCAAGTCTGCTCGCCTGTCTGAATGTAAGTAGGTCCGGGCTGGGCAGGGCATTTTAGACGCTCTACCACGGCCATCCAGATTCCCCTCTTGCTGGTCCGTCCTGATGGTCCGGGTTAGAAGGCTAAACCTCGGCTATGCACGGATCATCTACTCCTCTCGCCCTCTATCATCGATGTCTCCAGCCCGTCGCGTCCTGATGCTTCCCGCACCTCGAGGCCCGACTGAAGATCCAAAGAAAGCTCATAAATGGAATTAATGACCCCTTTCCAACCCGTCGACGTCTTTACCTAGCATCTAGAGCCCTTGTAGCGTCGAAACAGACGAGATGCAGCTAAGGTTCCCTTCGGTCAATTGTTAGGCCGAGACCACGTGACCCACCCGTTTTGGCGTAGCTGGCACGGGCGCCCCAACATCTGCCCCAGTTTCAATCTCAGTTCCGTCGGTCTGTCGCCGCTCACTACCAATTTTCTCATTTGATCGAGTAGAGCTGTTAAGACTACTAGCACCTTGGTCTCCATCCATCAGTATAAGTCGCGAATATCATCGTCGCATATCGCCCGTAGCCTTCCGTCAATCGCAATGAATAAGAATTGGAATGATAGGGCCGACAAGGACCTCTTCTTCACCATCTTGTCTGTGAAGAACATTGGCGTCATCTCCGGCTCGGAATGGACAACCATCGGCAACCACATGCGTACCTTGGGCTACGGCTTCACCAATGAAGGATGTCGGTAAGTCAAAGTTTCCTTTGCATCTCAATTCTTTCGTGCCTCGGACGACTTGTGGCTTTCTTTTGTCCTTCGACTTCTATCCCACTATCGCGCAATGCTATCTCTCGTCGGCTTGCCTCCAGAGGGATTTATCGTGCTCGAGGCGACGGAAATGCGCCTTCCCTGTCTACCGAGGTCTCTCATGCAGTGTCTGAGGATGCGATTTACAACCCAACGCACAGCGGTGTATTACATACGACGATGGTCGCTATGCCCCTAACTTTTTCCTTCTCTCTTCTCGACAACAATCGAGATGCTTGCTGCCTACGTTGACCACCACTGACGGGTCTCAGCCAACATTTCCAAGGACTCCGCCGCGCTCAACACAAGGCCGAGTCCAACGGAGGAAGCTCGGACAACCCAAGGAAAGTTGATCCAACGATGAACCCCATCACTCGGCGTCCCGGTCCGGGTCGTGGCAGACCCAAGAAGCAACCTCAACCACCTGCACCGATGCCCATTCCCCCACTGCCGGGCCAGGTTGTTCAGCCTGGCCAAGTGCCTCAGCCTGGCCAACCTCAACCGGATCAAGTTACGCAGGCCGACCAACCGCTGCCACCTCTTACTGCGCTCTCTGATGGCCTCCAATCTCTGCCTGAGTCGATAGATCTGCCCCTCAAAGACGACAGCCTGGACATGTCTCTCAAGGATGACGACGACAATGAAGAGACCGAGGAACACGATGCCAAGCGTATTAAGCTCGACGACCCACCCCAGGACCAAACTCTCGATGATGAAGCCGTATTAGCTCTCGCCGCTCACAGCAACAATTCTTCTGTGGATGCCTACGCCTCCGAGTATCCTACGGCTGGTTTAACCGGGTCAGACCCACACCCCTACAGCTTCCCCGGCGAAACATAGGAAGGCTGCAATTGCAATCGTTGTCGAGGAGAACCGACACCGTTCTGGACAACACTCCTTCTGGGAAGAGTTGATGCTATTCCTAGGCTGAACTTTCCCGGATCTGTCGAACAAAGTCATGGCGTTATGCATGGGAGCGAGCGCGGCATCAGGAGCGAGGGTTAACTGAACACGATGGGCGCTTTTGGAGTTGATTGGGTGCTGCTTTCGGTGTACCTACTGATTTTATGCGTCTTGATGCCACGAGAGTTGTGGTTTTTGCTAGTGGCGAGGATTATTCAGGTACAGAGCTGCCACAGGGCATGCTAGTTGATAATTCCGAACGTATTGATTTTCCTTGCAAAATCCCACGCAAAGTTTGTTATGATGTAGTCCAGCTTATTTTATACCAGTGGCCAACGGTGTCTCTGAGGTACTGGTGTGGAGTACCACTTCCTGTCGAGTGCTATTGGCCTGCAAAGGCTCTTTTTTCTTCCATCGCTGCAAGTGGTCTCTCAGCAAATGACTATCTGAAACAGTTACGACTCTCATCTTGAGATGGATTTGATGAGGAGCCTAGAAGTGAGACGAGAGTTCTGGTCAGAGGCAGATGGAACCGGAGACAGAAGAGAGGGCATCAGAAACAACAGCGGAGAACATGAAATATGCGCCTGTGGTGATGCAGAGAAACTTGGACGACCTCGACCTCGATCTTCACCTTTGTGGCAGCTTGGCTTCCTATGTCTCCGTGTAGGTAGGTGAATGGTTTGGCTCAGCCAAGCACCTCCGCTTGTCAAAGCCAACCGCTAAGACCCGCGTCAAGTTGTCATTCTTCTAGAAGGAGGTTCATTTCTTCCCTCCCATTCCACCCCTTCCCGCTACATCTGACCCAAGGGCACCGGCCTTTTTCTTCCCACCTAGCTACCACACTACAGCCTTCGCTTCTCCATCAACCATCTACAGCACCACTTCTAGCTCTCACTCTCGCTTTCCGCGCCCTGTACAGCAACCTCCACAACAAGCATTCGCCACGCAAACCGACAACATGTCTGAGAAGGGCGGCCGCTGGAACAACGTGGAGTTCGTTACGAGCCTCATGATGTCCTTCTACAACGAGTTGAAGGGAGATAGTCTCTCCAAGGAGAAGAAGGACGCCATCGAGGTTCGTCTCCGCGGACAGGGCTTCGAGGATGTCACCTGGAACGGCATTCGGTAGGTACCTTTTCTGATCATTATCCTTGTTCTTTGTTTTTCGACGAGACTGCCTATTTTCCCTGTGCTGGACCGACTACTTTTTCTGGTTTTTTTTTTTTTTTTTTTTCCGCCTTACTGTCGTCCTTGTCGCTACTATCGCCGTCGTTATCGCCGTCGTCGTCGCTCGTCGTCGCTCGTCGTCGCTCGTCGTCGCTCGTCGTCGTCTCTTTCCTGGTAGCTTCTGGTCTAGTGCCCCAAGCTCTTCCCTTATCCCACTGTTCGACTTTGCTCTATTTTACGAGCATTCGTCTTCTTCCCACACAACTTTCTCGCCTCGTCCTCTCTTCTCTCTCCCATATACCTCTCGCGTCAACCCCAAAGTACATCAACATATTCAACAACGAAGTCACAATGGCCGACAAGTCTGGCAAATGGAACAACCCAGTCCTCCTCGAGTCTTTGGTGATGGCTTTCCACTTCCTTGCCAAGTCAGCAGACGGTCTCACAAAGGAGTCCAAGGACGCGGTCGTCGCCAAAGCCCACCTCTGGGGCTTCACCGACATAACTTGGGAAGGCATTAGGTATTTATGCTCCTGCCTTGCTCTTTTCTTTGCTTTTCTTTGCTTTGCTTTTATTTGTCTCCTACTCTTATTTCCCCAGCCTCCTTGACGCATCTTCTCCTCTCTCAACTTCCTCTCTTGTTGATCCACTCTACTCGTCATCTCGCTCGTCTTCATCTTCCGTCATCACAAGATTATTCCAAATCGCCACGATGTCTCGCAACGTTATGCGATGGACCCCAGAGGTCGATCAGCAGATTCTCATCGCACTCATCAAGGCCGTCAACCCGACCGTGGAGCAGTACGATACTGTACTGCAGAACCTCCAGCCTTGTGGCTACAATTTCACAGTCTCGGCCTTAAAGTGAGACCCCCTCTTGCCTATTTCCATCACTTCTTTCCCTCTTTGCTTCCAATTTGCGGTTTTCATAAAAACCACCGTCACACTTCCAATATCTCTCCCAATGCCATCATGGAGGAACTCGAGCCTTGCGGATATGGCTTCACCGCCATCACCATGAAGTGAGGATCTCCTTCCCATTTTCGAGATTCCTGCCTGCCTACTGCACCTGATCGCTCCCCTCTGCCTCACCCTTCCCTCTGCCTCACCCTTCCCTCTGCCTCACCCTTCCCTCTGCCTCACCCTTCCCTCTGCCTCACCCTTCCCTCTGCCTCACCCTTCCCTCTGCCTCACCCTTCCCTCTGCTGATTTCTATTTATACTCTCCTCTTCCTCACCTCCACTTCTCCTCTTCCAAACACAACACCATCGCACTTCCACCTTTTCACAACATTACCTCACTTCACAAAAAACATTTCACTTCACCCCATACATTCTCATCCACCAACCCAAATACAACACATCATGGCACCTGTTACCATCTGGGATGATAAGGCTCATGCCGATCTCCTCATCGCTCTGCTGCCAGTGGTGAAGCCGACCAAGGACCAGTGGGACGAGGTCTTGGCCAATGTCCGGGCGAAAGGATACAACTACACCGCTGGAGCTGTCGTGTACTCACCTGCTGCTTCTTCTCGACGCATATCAGATCCGTGCTAACCCCCGTTCATAGGCAGCATCTGCAGAAGCTTCAGAAGAAGGAGGCTACCGTCGCTGCCGAGAACGGTGAGGGCAACGGCGCCTCTGCCGCCTCCACCCCCAAGGCCAAGAAGACCGCTACTCCTCGCAAGCGCAAGACCCCCTCCAAGAAGGCCAAGACCGAGGAGGACGATGACGAGGAGGAGGAGAAGCCGGCCAAGAAGCCCAAGGCTCCTCCCCGCCCCGAGTAAGTTGCAACTTCTCATGATTCGCGCTTTCCACTGCCCAGTTTCTTCGTCACTGTCATGCTGAAAACGTCTTGAAAACAGCTTCAAGGAGGTTAACGAAGCCGAGGCCGCTGAGGAGCTCGCCGACTGGCAGTCTGTCAAGGCTGAGATCTAAGCCGACAGCATGATTCACATCGACCGACTGGAACAGAATATTCGGGGAAGGAGAGGCAGGGAACTGAATATACTGGCCATTGGGGGATAGTGAAACTTCTGGATGACTTGGGGGGAATCTTTGGTTGCTCGCTTGGACTGAAGACTTGGCTGCGAAACTGCATACGGACTCGAAATCATCTTAGAGTCTACAATCACATCGGAAATGAGAAACATGGATGCTTTCTCCTACCCTTCTATGAAGTACACTCGCTGCTGATATTTGTCTAACCTGATGACGACTTTTCTTAGATTTCAGCCATCCGGGCGGATACGTACGGCTAAGCGGGGGGCTTTTCCAGTGCTCCTATTGTTATTATCGTTTCGATCATTCATATCACTCGCCATCATACATCATCCGTTGGTCTACCTGCCAGATTACGGGTTCGTTTCCCCCAGTAAGTCCTTTGACCTTGCTGCTTTTCACTGCCTTGTTGCTAATATCTTTCAGACATGACAGACAATGTACATGTGCGTGAGCCCCCGCGTGTCTATCCACACTGCATCCCTCACAGCGCCCCTTTTTCTCACTCATCACCGGGACAATATGTGCTCGACGACTCATCAGTCTCCGCTCTCTCACGAACTGCTCAAGGCGAGTCCAATCTAGCCTAGCCCTTTGCCTCCTTCCCTCTTTTTCAGTTGACTCGGACTCTCGGACTCGTCGAGGCTATTTATTTCTGCCCTCGTTGGCGGCTCTCGAAACCTTCTCTTCTTCCTCCACACAACAACCTCGCGACAACCGCTCAACCTCGCCTCGCACAACACAACACACAACAGAAACCACATTAGCACTACTCATCATGGCTCCCAAGGCTTGGACCGCTGAGGCCGATCTTGACGCCATCTTTGCGACCGCTTTCCAGAACGTCCCCAACGCCCCCATGGGCGGCATCAATTGGGATCGTGCCCACCAGATCATGACCGGACTGGGCTACAAGTTCAGCAAGGACGCCATTAAGTAAGTTTTATTCTCATTCCTGGTTTCGTTGTCTTCCTCCTCCTCGTCACTCCTCGTCACTTCTCGTCACTTCTCGTCTCTCCTGCTCTTCTCTGCTCGTCCTCTGCACGTCGTCTCTGCTCGTCGTCTCTGCTCGTCGCCTCTGCTCGTCGCCTCTTGTCCTTGTCTCTCGTCCTCATCCCTCTTCGTCGTCTTCGTCGTCTTCGTCGTCTTCGTCGTCTTCGTCGTCTTCGTCGTCTTCGTCGTCTTCGTCGTCTTCGTCGTCTTCGTCGTCTTCGTCCGCCATCATGAAAACCCCCACTAACGCTTCCAAACAGCCAGCGGTGGTCCAAGGTCATCAACAAGAATGCCAAGCAGCGTGTCAACCAGGGCATAAGAAACGTCGCCAACGGCAACGTTGCTCCTGCCACCCCTACCTCCGCCCGCGGCAAGCGCTCTCGCCCTGCCCCTTCTTCCGGCGCTCGCGCCAACCAGGCCACCGCCCAGATGGCTCGCGCTGCCCGTGCCGTCGACGATGGCGGCGACGACTCCGAGGAGGACCTCGACGTGAAGCGCCCTGCCAAGCGCCAGGTCCCTGCCGGTGGCCTCGCTGCTGGCCTCAACGGCCAGAAGATCGATCTCACCAACGACAACAACCACGACGACGAGATCCAGTTCGTCCAGAACGCCGACCAGACCCCCGTCAAGACCGAAATCAAGGACGGTGAGGAAAAGAAGACGATCATGTCCGCTGTCCTTCATGACGTTCGTAAGCATGACATTCGTGAGCGCAGGCAAGTACCCTCCCCCCCCTCCCCCCTTCCCCTTGCGCGACTTCCCGTGTTCGATTAAGTGTAAATCTAACAGGCAATAGCTCCACGCTCGCTCCTTCCGTCGCTCATGCCTTCGTCAAGGTCAAGAAGCAGGAGGTTGACCCCTCCGACTCCGACGCCCAGGGCTATCTCGATGGCGAGGTCTAGGTCACCATGGAAGCTGACATCGCCACCACCAAGGCCCGCTGCTCTGAGGACCTCCTTGAGGGCCAGGAGGTCGAGATGGAGGGTATGTAAGCTGCTCTTTGCGCAGCAACTTACACAACTCTACATTCGACATTCGAACTTTTCAGCATGGCGGTGAAATGGTTTTGGCAAGCTTGCTAGCATTGGTTTGGCACTTTTCTGGTTCTTCTGGGTGTCCGCGTTTTCTTTCTCGACCATTTCAGGACTGCGTGGTTAGTTTCCGTCTTTCCCTATAGGACTGGCACTCTTCTTGGTCTCGGTTGGTTGCGGTTGCGAGCTCAGGATTGGCAACGGGAGAGCATCAGGGTGTTGACAGATGGGTGGCAAAAGCTTCTTTTCGCTTTGGGATTTCTGTGAACAGGACAGGACGCTTTCTGAACCGCGTATAGCTCTGAGCTTGCCATTTTAGCTTGCTTTTCTTAGATAGAGCCGAAGATACGCATTGACATATCATGATTTGGCCGATGCCGTGATGTAACGAGACCCAGATCACTAGCAATAAGGCAACGTCCAGACCACGATGACAACGCACCACCACCCTGCTTGAAATTCGATTCGTTCTTCTCGTGGACCCTGGTCCGCAGTTGACTGTCCTTCGTGATGCCTTTGTAATTACAACGATGCGCCCTGAATGACACCTGACCCTATCCCCGAACGCCGATCCGCCCAAATCATGAGAATCCAGGCCAAAGACTCATTTTGAAACCATCCATTCTAAGGCTTGCGACCATCCAATCTCTGACCCTCGTTGGGCCCCTTCTTCTCAGGCGCCTTTGGCTTGTCCTCACCCTCGCCCTTGCGCTTGCCCCTGAGAGTTTGGCCTGAGCCCGCAAAGTGAGGGCGGTTTGCATCCTCCTTCTCGCGCTCCTTGTCGGCGTCAGTCTTCACAGGCTTGATCTCGTAGCCAAAGAAGAGCTTGTTAGGAGGCAGGCGCAGAGGCATTGGGCCGTTCGTCCGACGGGGAAGGGGGGGGACGGCTGGGGCGTTGGCGGAGGCACCGGCAACAGGGGTGGCGGGCTTCGGTGTCGACGCCTTACTACCCTTCTTGTTGAGCTTCTGGCCCTCACCGTAGAAGTTGGTATTGGTCGTTGTCGCGGAGGGCGCGATGGCGTTGTAGTTGATGGACTGAGCCATACTACCCTGGCTGTGAAGAAGGCCGCCAGCCGGGAGGCCGCCTCCACGGACGCTGCGAGGGGTGCTCGTGCCGCTGCCGCGCTGCTGCTTCTCGGGCTCGACGTAGCCGACGGGCGGGGCGAAGTCAACCTCGACATCAGTTTCGATCATGCAAACACCCATCTTATCCGTCTCGGGCTTGACCTCTAGAACGGCCACGTGATAGATCTCGTCGTTGTACTCAAAGTTGAAAACGTCACCCTTGGTGAGCGTGGCAAAGTTCCTAAACGCCTTCTCCAGCACGGCCTTGGGATCGCTGATGTCGAGGAAGTTGGTGGACTGCGGCTGAAGCTTGACCAGTCGTGCGAGCTCGAGAGAGGTTGTCTTGACCTGGATCATATCGCCGACATCGAGCTGGAGGGTCTCCATCATCTATGTCTCACGTTAGCGACCCTGCCGCCGGTGCGAAGCAGACTCCACGAACCCATTGAGGGAGGTAAGCCCTGCCCTCCTCCGCGACGAACTCCAACACACCGGAGTGGGAGTGCTTTCCCTTCTCGCCGTTTATAATCTCCATCAGCAGCGGCCACTGTACGTGGAGCTTCGAGACCTTGTCAAGCGCAGAAGGAGGCAGGAAGATCTTCGAACCATAGTTGAGTTCGGGGCGTTCGGCGCCAGGGGCCATAACCATGGGGTAGCATCGGTAGTACTCGTCGAAGCGCTGGACAATAGGGCGGCGCCCGCCGCGGGCGAAGTTGTACATGTCGGCTTCGCTGGGGTCGAAGCGATACTGGGAGCTCGAGGTTAGCTTGGGTCTGGGAGTGGTGAACGGGACACCAGGGTAACTCACCATCTTTGGCGGTCGGTCGGTCGGAAGATGTAAGGTCTGATTGATAGGGCGAGGGAGAGCGGAAGTTCCGAGGGGCCGAAAGGTGAAGTAGGCAGAGGAAGCTTGCCCTAGCAGTAGTGATTTAGTAGGCAGAGGAGATAGCTCTGGCTTTGAGGAAGATGAGTGATGGAGGGTCGGTGGACGTGGGGCCGAAGGCAACTGATGAATGACGAAACCCCCACTAAAAAGTGACTTCCTGCGTCGCTGTCGTCCTCTGTCGTCCACTGTCGTCGTTCGCTATCTTCGTCTCTAACTACCTTTACAATGCTTACTATCGCCTTTCTACTAATTTTTGCTACTACTTATCACTGCCATCATTTTTACTATAAATGATTATCGGCCTTGGTCAAAGTGCAACTTCAAATCTAAAGTATTAAGTACCTTACACAGGAAGCGTGAACGCAGGGAAGCTCAAAGAGGTTCCACTAAAAATCGCCAAACTCAAGACCCCAGACGGTACATTTAAGCACATGCAAACTGGGCGGACGACAAGGTACCCACCCGGTCTTTGATGTCTTTAGCTCAGGTACCGTCAAGCTGCATCCACCTACGAAGCTTCCCAAGAACACGCCCAGCCGACATGACCTTTCTCTAAAACATTCTCAACATTCCACGAAGCAGACGTACTACCAAACAGAAAGATGTCGTCAAGACACTCAGCAGCGCGCCCGAAACGCGCAGGCGAGACGTTCGCGCGAACGCATCACCACGACGACGACGAAGGCCATGACTCCAAGAAGCTCAAGTTCGACGTGCGCAACCCCTCAGCCCTGGCCCCCGACGCGCCAGAAGAAGATGCGATTCTCGACGCCGACGTCATCGGTGCCGGTGCCGGCGCCACGAAACGCGGCGCAGTGAACCTGGACGGCTACGACAGCGATTCAGACAACGAGCGCAACTTCAAGGGTCGCGCGGAGGAGCGGCACCGTGGGAAGAAGGGCGACGTGAACTTTCTGGACCAGCTGGACAAATACGATGCTAAAAACGACGGTTCGAAGGGTGGTGACGTGAACGAGGATGACGAGGACGACGACATGTTTGCGGCCGATGATGACGACGAGCAACAAGGCAAGGCGGCGCAGGAGGCAATCAAGGGCTCTGGGAAGAAGGACAAAGCCGTGCGCTTCCTCGAGGATACTCAGATCGAAGGCCAGGACCTCAAGAGTACAAGCGGTGGCCAAATTCGCCTAGACGAGCAAGAGAGCAGCGACGACGAGGAGGATAAAGAACTTGCGATAGAGGAGGAGGGTATTGATGAGGAGGTCGGCCTCGGCGGTCTTAAGCGCAACGCTCCAAAGGTTGAAGCATTCAACATGAAGGAAGAGCAGGAGGAGGGCCGATTTGATGAAGATGGCAATTACATCAGGAAAGCGGTGGACCCGAATGCAGTCCACGACAAGTGGCTAGACGGCTTGAGCAAGAAGGACATGAAGAAGGCAGCTGAGGCGCATGAGAAGCGCGAGGCCGAGGCACGGAGGTTACGCATGGAAAACGACGACATCCTTACGACAGACTTGCTGAAGGCGCTTATCTTGAGGTTAGAAAGGGGCGAGACGCCGCTGGAGGCGCTGGCGAGGCTGGCCAAGGGGCAGCCGAAGCAGAAGAAGATACCCAAGTGGAAGTTGAAGAAGATGAACAAGGGGGCCGACGAGGCGATGGATGTGGATCACGAGAAGGAGTTGACCCCTGAGCAGGCGAAGAGGAAGGAGGACATTGAGGCCATCACCGACGCCGCGGATAAACTCTTAAGTCGAGATCACGCTGAGATATACGACGAGGAGAGGGAAATGCTCGTCCGAGAGTGGCAGCGAGAAACCGGTGAAGAGTGGCGTGAACCGGCTAAAGAGGAGAGCGCCGAAGAAGGGAGTTCCGCCAAGATGTGGGAGTTCAGATGGACGGATGGACGCGACGGGGCCGATAAGCAGGGCCCTTTCGACGGCCCTACAATGAAGGCATGGCAAGACGCCGGATATTTCGGCGAGGGAGTTGAGTTCAGATCAGTAGGCGAGGATGGCTGGAGCAGAGTTGCCTCATTTGTATAATGTTTAAATTGCATGCCTCACACTGAGACGCGACGGAATAAGCTAGGGAATCAAAAGGGTTGCATTCCTGGCATCGCTGCGATGCAACGAGGCAATCATTTATGGTACATAATCTATCACATATTCCCATGGGAGGTCACCTATTGGGAGGTTACCTATTTTACTGCCCAGAACGCCCAACTCAAAGACCTTTCCCACGCTTAGCTCAAATCCATCGTCTCACCATGGCCATTAGTGACGGTAAAATCGACAGCGCCGTCCTTGCCTATCAGGCGCTTCTCCGACTCGGACACAAACTTGACGCTGCGAGCCGGATCGTAGAAAAGCGAGAAGCTTCTCTGGACGTCGGCAATCTCGACCTGCTTTGACCTGCGCTTGTTGCTCACCAGCTGAGATGTCGTGATGAGGTTGCTAGCATAGCGCAGACCAGCCTCCTGGCCAATCTTGGTCAGGAGCGCCAGAGCGTCGGCGGAGATCTCAACCTCCTCCTCCTGTGCACGGATAGTAAGAATCTGCTTGATCTCGTCGGGGCTGTAGGTGTTGGTGTGAATGATGACAACGCGGTCAAGGAAGTCCAGCGGAAGGCCGTGGGGACTGCGGTAGTCGGTTCCTCTGATGCGAGAGTTCCCCCTGTTGCTGGCCATGATGACCACAGGCGCAAGGGTGTCCTCCAGAGCGCGGTTAATGTATGAGAAGCACTCGATATCAAGCATGTGAACCTCGTCGATGAAAAGGACACCCGGCACAATCTCGGCCTTGCCTTCCTCCTTCCACTCTCCAACCTTGGTGTTGATCTGGTCGCGAATCTCACTGCGGATCTCGCCTGTGTCGCCCGAAAAAAGAGCCAAGAAGCCTTGTGTACGAGAGTTGATGACATCAATCTCGTGAAGAGTGACGGTGTGCACGACCTCCTTGCGCTTCTGCAGCTCCCCGTCAGGGCATTGGAGGAACTTCGTGTCGACGCCCATCGCGTCGTAGTCGCGCGAGCGGGCGTACGACCGACCAAGCTTCGTGATCTTGCCAGAGGACTTGTCGATAGAAATAATGTCACCGGCCATGACGCGCTCCTTGGTCATCGCATCAATCATCTTCGCGCCCATATCATACACGGCCTCCATGTCGGTCGTCTTGATCGTCAGCTTTCCCTGCTTAGCACCGCCGGTGACACTGCGGTCAATCTGGATCTCAACAACCTCGCCCTCCATGATCTCGCTCTCTTCCTTGATGCGCACGCCGATGGACTTGCGGAATGCTTGTGTGAGGGCTTCGGTCTTGGACATTTCGAGGGAGAAGATCTCGGATGAGGCGAGACTGGTGAAAGGGACATCGGGGCCTAGGGATTGGGCCATGCCCATGGCGATGGCAGTCTTGCCAGTGCTAGATGGATTCTATTAGCCAATTGAGCAAGCTCGGAAGCGGCGTGTTAGGCCTTACCTTGGAGGACCAGCGATCAAACAGGCTCGGCCAGCAATCTTGCCTTCCTTAATCATCTGCAGAATAACAGCGGCGGCTTTCCTGGCCTTCTCCTGTCCAACCAAGCCCTGAGACGCAGCTCTGGGCTCCAATGTTGTGGCATCGACTCCCAAGCCCCGGATGTGCGAGTGGGCCGCGATGAGATTGAGCCCTCTGAGCTCCTTGCTCTCGGAGACGGTCATGACGGGCTGCAGGTCTACGTCAGTTTGAAAGGATTGTCCGAAGGAGCTTCAAACCTACCGCAGCCATCTTGAATATGTGTTATCCTACCGGTGCAGGATCCTCGTCGTCGGTTTGAAAGGGTGTACCAAGCGGTTCGATGTCGTGGAGATGGTGAATTGGATGGTTGCGATGCAATGCGACGCAAAAACACTTCGTCTCGAGGCTGAAAGCTGGACAGCGCGTCCGAGAAATTTAGACATGGCTCGCGCTTATTCCCCAAGCGTGGCGCGGCTCGCGCTTAGCAGGGGCACGTACACTGTGCGACGACGACCGCTATCCGGACGACTCCAGGTAACTTGCTCTGTACCGAAGAGGCTCGCCGATGCCGTCTGAAACCTAAAATTCTTCCCCTTTCAACAGGGAGCTGGCAGACTTGCGTCACTTAACCGCCAATCTCATTATTGTCGCAGATCTTGAATCTCGCTCCTCACACATGCAACTATCATCTTCTTGTCCAGCGTACCCATCCAGATACTTTGCACGAGGCAGGAGAACAAGAGGTCGACCACGGGCACTGTGACGGCTTACTTGCTTACCTGCCTTTGTCACTTGCCCCGCCATGGTAGCGTTCTCGTACTCGTTTCGACCTAAACTGACGTCTCTAATGCCCAATGATTTACGGACAGCGATTTGTGGGATTTACACTTATCTGACGGCATCTGGGATGCCATGGCAAATGGGCGGCAATTGCGGCTTTTCACTGCATTTGAGTCACACATTTGAAAGAAAAAGAAATAACTTGTGGCGCGCTTGACCTTCCTGCAGCTGGTTGTTGCACTTGATGCAGTTGGATGCAACTTGCAAGGGGTGCAATGGGAGGTTGGACATGGCATCCCCCCATTGTTGACGAGGGTCAGAACCACACAGATAAAGGCATGTGTCTCTTGAGCAAAACGGATCGATTCAGCGGTGAGTAGATACTGGATCGACAGAAGGTTGCGCAACAGATAGAGGCCCGAAATTGCATGCGGTTTTGCGTGCCTTTGTCGGAAAGGCACTAAAAATACAGAATGCTAAGCGTCGAACCCCACCTCCACCACACCACCCAAACCGATTTGACGCCTGACACTGAACCCCCAAAGCCCGCCCGACTGTGCATGCCCCCCACTGACTATTGAACCACGTCTAAGAATTGAGCTCGGTCGCGATTCGCGAATCATCTTTACAAAGCGATCCCCTGCGCGAGTGGAATCGTTTGCCGCCCATGTCCATGCGAATTGTGAGCAGCAAACAGTTCCTCGTTGCCAACAGTTCATGCGCAAACACATCAGTTAAATACTCGGCCTTTTCTTATTTTCCCCTCCTCTAGAACCCATCCATCCCGACACCTTGCCTTCTAGTACCTGCATGTCTACCACAGGTGCTTCGCATACCTAACCAACTACCCCAGCACAACCTCATCCACCCCAGCACATCGCTGGGTCTGCACACCCACGATTGATACACTTTTGAGAGTCGCCCTTCGACTCTTCTCGCCCAACCTTACGTTACGATTGCGTTCCCTTTCTCAGATCTCGGCGGCTTTCCCTCCCCTCACCTAACCCACTCCCATACAGTGCCGACTGTGGAGTGAGCAGGGTAGGCTTTTGGTAATTAAAACGCGATTCCCTACGTAGCGTGGGGCATTTAATTGCATAGCGCGCCACCGCCGACGTCCAATTTACAAGAAGAGTCGCAACATAAAGAAGGAAAAAAAGAAAGCCCCTCGGCAGCTCCTTCTTTCACAGTCTATTCGTTCCTTCCGGCACTGCAAACTGCCTTTCGAGCAATTCGTAAGTGCTGGCGTTGGATCTTTCTCTTTGCATCATCAACTGACACTAGATCACACCCGAAGCATTCGCTGTTTCTTGTGCCTTCACCTTTAAATTTGCGGAGCATGTTGAGCAAACCCACCGTCGCCATTCCCTCTCCTTCTCCGACCACCGTTCGTCTTCGGCAACATGTCGACACTTAGGCGTTCCGACAGCGATTATCGCGACCGACGCGAGCGAAACACCTATAACTATTCGGACCGACGCGACGGTGAGAGAGATCGTCGGGATCGGGACTATGACCGGGACCGGGACAGAGATCGCGACCGTGACCGCAACAGAAGCTATGATCGATCTCGTTCTCGTTCTCGGTCTCGTTCCAGATCACGTTCTCGCGAACGTCGAGACATCGATAGATCCAAGCTAGATCATCACCGCGATAGGCAGGTATTAGGCTCGCGAGAAGCTGCCCCGCGTCCCCCTCCAAGAAGCTTCTCCTCCCCTTTACAGAACAGCGGTTCAGCAGGATTTCATGGTCGGCCGCCATGTAAGTTGCCTGGTAGCGTCAACAACAAATCACAGCTAACGATGATACCAGCACCTCGGGGACTGCCGACTGCTTCAACAACGCCAGTGTCTTCCAGACCGTCGAGCCCTAAGCTAGCCGCAGGATCTTCTCATCACGCAAAGATTACGCAAGCGCTGCAAAGTATATCCCATCGAAACAAGGAGCACGCTACTTTACAATTGAGAAGGGAGGTGGTCGAGACCCGAGTGAAAGAAAGGGAAAATATACGCAGGGCGTCGCAGCACAAGTATGCCGAGTTCCCGTCTTTGAGAGAGACCCATCGCAGGTCTGAGAAGAAAGACCTGGACGACCTTGCTGCTTTGCGAAAAGAGGAGCAGGCTGCGCACGCGAGATCTGTGGAATCGTCCGAACAGCTTGCCTCGCTTATCCTTCAGGTCTATTCTGATCTTCAGCAAGAGAAGGACAAACGCGCCGTCACGGCCACCAGCACAAGCAGTCTCGTGGATCGGCTTGACAACTTAGAGAAACAGCACCAAGAAGACGTCAAAGAGCTTAAAAAGGGACTCGCATTTGAGACTGCCCAGCGTAAGGCTCTGGACATCGAGAATAAGTCTCTCAAGGCCAAACTTTCAAAGTTGGAAGAAGAGGTTGAGAAAAAGCACATCACTACCTCATCCGCACTTACGGAACAGGTCGACTCTATCAAGCGCTTAAGTCAAGCCCAGCTTAAACCCACACCTGCGCCAACACTTGACGCTGCAGCTGAGGATAAACAAGCGTCAGACATCCAACAGTGTATCGCTGACATTGTGAAATTGAGGGATGTCCTGGGTCGACACGATAATCATTTGGGACAATTAGACCCCGACATCATTAACGAAGCCTGTTCGGGATTCGTGACAAGGCTACCGCGACTAGAGAAGGAATGCGATAATCTTAAGAAGCAACAGCAAGCCGCACAGACGCTCAGAGACAGCGAACAAGATAAGCTCACAGCTGATCTAAAGAGTCTTCGGTCTCGCCTA